GATGGACTTTAGGACTTTCTATTTGCTTAAACTACTTAACATTTCGTTCCTGTCTTTCTTTAGGCAGCAGCTCGTGTGAATTTACATCATTTTCCTTCAGAGCTTCCAAATGTGACCTAAAAAAACAATGATTGCAAAAGCTGTGAGAGCTTATGAAAGGAGCGTCATGTAACCTCCCGTTTAGAGTGGGCTGCCCCTTTAAGCAGTGGGCGGGGCTCGTTTTACTACGGCCCGCCTTTATGCACAGCCTTCCTCTCAGTGGATCATATTAGCGCAGCAGGCTGCTGGAGAACGCAGTCCGGCCACTTTAGCGGCGGCAGAGCGCAGCGAGCGGACTGATCCACCCTCACTGAGGGGGTTCGTCTTCCACCAGTAGAAAAAAAAAAAAAAAACTACAAGGAAATTAAACGCTACGAGGCGTCAGAGCTGGGATTCAAAAGGAAGGTCGGACTGGGGCTGCGGCTTTTGGACTCTAATTTTTACGCACGGCGGATCTATGAAGACGCCGACAGGTTATTCTTTAGCAACCCCAGGTAAACTCTTCATGCAGTTATTATTTATTTTTATTATTAATACACACATGCATGGACGGTGTGTTTGGAAGGGGGAGTCTGAGGCTTTCATGGACCTCTCCATGCGCGCCTGCTGCCTAATTAACTGATGGGGAGCTTCTCAGCCGCAGCTGCTTGATAATCAGCGAGGAGGCTCCAGATAAACTACTTTACATATGGCAGTCTGCAGACAGGTGGGACTCCTACCTTTACCTGCCAGCCTCTTAATCTGGTTCAATCTAACCTAATCAGTCTATTCTGCGCTGAACCCACTGACCCCCCCTCCCTGCTCTGTTATGTAATTGAAGCAGTGCAGAGAAACTTGGAGCTGTGGGTTGGAACTTTCTAACTTTGACCCATATTTCTACGAACAAAAATGGAAAAAAGTAAACATCACTGCGCAAAATTACACATTTTCTAAGTCTTTTAAGTTGAGGTTGATTTTTTTTTTTTTTTTACTAAATATTTCTAATAAAAAAAAAATGTTTACATGGTGAAAAAAATAAACAGTATATGATATAATATGAGCTGTGTGTGTTTCCACAGACTGAGGCACCCCGGAGTGACTGGCCCCCTCCTCTCCTCTCCTCACCCCGCCTGTCTGCCTCCAATGCCGGGCATTAGCTCCGCCGCGCCTCGCTATGAGAGCTGGGAAATGGACCACCTGGACCACTACCAGCACTACTTCTACGACGACCACGACCCGGACGAGGACTTCTTCAAGTCCACAGCGCCCAGCGAGGACATATGGAAGAAATTCGAGCTGGTGCCGACCCCGCCCATGTCCCCCATCCGGCTCCCTGCGGAAGGGTCGGGCAAGGTCGGGCTGCTGTGTCCTTCTCTCGGGGACAAACTGGAGTGGGTGTCCCAGTTTCTGGGGCAGGAGGACGAGCAGAACCACCAGCATCCGCAGGAGCTGCCCTGCAAGCTGGCCACCGGCGGAGACACCTTCGGCAACCTGAGCTCCATCATCATCCAGGACTGCATGTGGAGCTGCTTCTCTGCAGGACAGCAGCTGGAGAAGGTGGTGGGGGAGCGCTCCCGGCTCGGCGGGGTTTCCTCCCCTGGCAGGGCGCAGGGGCCGCTCTCTGACACCGGGAGCGGTTCGGCTGCGGACTGCGTGGACCCGGCTGCTGTGCTGACTTTCCCGCTTTCTGGAGGATGCAAGAGGCAGGTGTCCTCTGGTTCAGAGTCACACACGGACTCCTCAGGTCAGCGCAAGTATTATTACTAAACACTTTGTAGAAAAAAAAGATCAAATGTTTAATAAAAGCTGATTGGACAGCAGCTGGTGGGGGGCCCAGGGCTCCTGACTGCATTGCGTTGGTGCGTAAAACCCAATGCTTGGAGCCAGAAGTGACACACCCATTAAAACATCTGCTGCTTGGCAGGAATCCAACAGAACAGCTGCTCCTCCAGCCTGACTTATGCCAACAATATCATCCCAACTCCTGTTTTGGCTCCATTTTCTCCTGAAAGCACTGTTTGCATTCAACTTTATGCAACAAAAAGAGGAACCATTTCTCAAAACTTCTATTGAGACTCAAAAAGCACCACTCTATTTAAACAGACATAAGATAAGCTGCTAATGACGTGAAGAGTTGAATGTTAAAGACATTATAATGCTGTCAGACTTTAATTTAATTGATAAACTTAAAAATACTAGATTGCACCAATATCTCACTTCCTTTTAAGGTCTGATCTTGAAGATGCTGCAGGTTTTTTGGGGGGGAAATTAATTAGAAGTTAATCCTTTATTTATAAAATTTCCTAAACCATAATATATTTTTTCAACCCCCATATTTTCTAAAACTGAGGAAAAAAAAATACAGATTTAAAAATAATGAGTCTATATAGAGTTCTGTATTGGATAATATACCAATTGGAGGGATATTTTTTTTCTCATTAAAGTAATTGCCATCTCTGTTTACAGTTGGATATTTACCAACATTAGTATCCCGTTTTCAATGAAAAAAAGTGTATAAGTCGTTCAGCCTGCTGACAGGCAGCTTGCAGCAATAGGTGCATATCCATATAAATTAAGACAATTTTTTTTATTCCTTTAAAACTATCTTACGAAAAAAAAAATAAGATCGGCATGAACCAGCCTGTGCTTCCTTTGGTCAAAATATTTCCTTCATTCAAGTTCTGCTTTTTCTGAAGATTCCCTTATTGGCACACATATGACTGACTGTGGTATGTGGGCTGCCATGTGATCAGAGGGGGTCTGGGCTGCGTAACGGTGTGTGGAATGTCACAAAGGGAGCTTGTTGCTGCATTCCTACGCTCAACAGGCTGCAGCTACAATTGTTTCCGTTTGTGTGTGTGTGTGTGCGCGCGTGTGTGTGAGCGATCCGAGCCAGCCGGGGCTTTGAATAGAGCTGGATTAGCCTTTTAGGTCGGCTCGCCCCGTGGAATTCCCCAGGATGAAGCTGGAGGTGTGTCTCATCACTTTTTAGGGGATTGGATCTCAGTGATGATTTGCTAGAACCTCCATAAGCAACTGGAAATCTTGTAGAGGAATCAACTTTACTAGTTTATTTAGAAAAACTTTACTATTTAATATATATTTATTTAGATTTACTCATTAGAATCAAGTTAAGAGATTGTTTTCTTTCCATTCCCGAATGCATTGTGGGAAAGGTCTCCAATATCATGCCTAGTTTAACATTAGGCAGCTTGTTTTAACAAGCTTAAACCCCCCCTTTCTCTCCCGTCCCTACAGTCAACACATGAATGAAGCGAGGGAATTTGTGCTGATCTAAAGCAGAGACTCTACAGTGTGTGGGGGACATGATCAGCGTTCCTGGGGGCTTTTTAAAGTTCATTTTATACAGAAGTGAATTGGATTTAGGATGTTTTTATCCACAGGTTTCTGTTTCTCACACCTCATTTTTTCATTTAATTCCATCTCCTTTGTTTTGCTGTTTAGATGAAGAAGATGAGAATGATGAGGATGAAGAGGAGATTGATGTGGTGACGGTGGACCACAAGCAGCAGCGGAAGCGGCGCCGACTGGTCACCACCCGCAAACCGGTCACCATCACGGTGCGAGCAGACCCCCACGACCCTGGAACCAAGCGTTTCCACATCTCTATCCATCAGCAGCAGCACAACTACGCCGCCCCCTCCCCGGACACGCTCCCAGCTGCTCCCGAGCCCGCCCGGAAAAAGGTTCGCCAGGAGGCCCCTGCTCCTGTGACCCAGCCTTACCAGAACTCTTACCACCACCAGCCCCGGCCTGGCCACGCCCCTCTGAACGCGGACAGCAGAAAGTCTCAGACCACAGCGGTCGGACTCAGATCCGAATCCCCTAACCTCCACGCATCCTCGCCTACCTCGTCCTCATCGCCTTCGTCCCCACCCGGCTCCTCTTCTTCCTCCTCCCACCAAAGCTCGTACTCAAAGCCCCCCTCTCACCTGTCCAGCCCCCAGTCCTCAGACTGCGAGGACACGGACAAGCGAAAGGCGCACAACTTCCTGGAGCGTAAGCGACGCAACGACCTGCGATCACGCTTCCTATCGCTACGGGACGAGATCCCTGGGTTGGCGGACTGCCCCAAAACCCCCAAGGTGGCCATCCTGACCCGGGCCACAGAGTACCTGCAGCAGCTCCACGCTGCCGAGAGGCAGAAGACCCAGGAGAGGAAGCAGCTGAAGGCACGGCAGCTCCAGCTGCTGCAGCGCCTGGCGCAGCTCAAACGCTCCTGAGGGGCGGAGTCAGCCATCACTTTACTAGAACACTGAACCTAATGGGACTAAAAGGAGAGGAGGAAAAACACTGATCACTTTGTATTGGTCATGCGGGAATAGAGCAGGTGGACTTTTGTTTGTTTTTTCATTTTGCCTTTTGTTTTGGTTTTGTTTTTTTGCACATCAGCTTGTGAATGATGAGAGCTGTCTGGATGGCCAGCAAGGGATCGATCCGAGTCGCTCTTGCAGGCATTATATTCGTGGTCACTTAATATTTGTTCTGCCTACCTGCAAGGAGAACAATTAAAACTTGCTATAATAAAACCAACCGTTAAACGAGCGATGCAAATTGGCCTAAATTGCTCTGTCAACTACTGTGCTTTGATAACCCAGCCTCCTTTATGGCCAACTGTTTAGTCTCTGGTATAGAACGTCTGAATTCAAAACTTTGCCTTCATTTCTGAATTGGTGTCCAGTAACCTTTAATTTCCCCCCTTTTCAGTTTCCTTCATACAGTTCTTTACAGTAGTTGGTCAGTTCTTTCTTGACTCAGGCCTGAGAGAGAAGTTTGAGCTCCACCCTTGATTAAAACTCATTACTGAAGTATTTCACTACTGCATGTTGGTGCAGCAAATCAGTTCCCATTGGAGCCTTTTTGTTTTTGCTGTAATTATGCAGAAAAAATGGTCGACGTCTCAGAATTTCTTTTATAAAGAGTCTAAATTTCAGATTGATTGTTGTGCCATGAAGACCAGCCAAACGGTGAATTAACATTAATTGATTCATAGATACCATCTTAAGTTTCCAGCTGTATTTATTTCATCTTGCTGTCTGATTTCATTCGATGGAATGCCTTTAGGAGCCTTTCTGTGTCTGTACATTATCCAGCTGGATGTTCTGTAAATAGATCCTCGACTGTACAGTCCTCCTGAAACCAAAACCTGAGCTGTCTAAGTTTTCTCATCCAGTTTCTTTTGGGCTTGCTGGCTTTTCAGAGATGACTCAAAGCTTCTATTTTTGTTAATAAAATTTTAAAAGAGAAAAAAAACAAAATAAAACACTGAAATTTGATTGCAAACATGTTGTCACTCTACTTTCTTTTTTACTTTAACTGGGTTATCTTTCCATCAAAAGTCAATTTCAATAAAAGTTTTCTATGGTATTTTCATATGTGGTTCAGTGAGCGCTAGTACTTATTTTATATCTGAAGCTTGCGTTTTCTTTCCAATCAGTAGTTCTCCCTTAGAGATGGATCAGATGGAGACATTAAACTGTAACCTGCCATGTTTTAAATCAAGTTTATAACTACTAAATCTAACAGATGGAAACCATAAAGTATTTGCTGTGTGGTATCAATTTAGGGGGAAATACATGTTTTAGGCATTGTCTAGGATCTCTAAAAAAAATGTGAGGTTAAAATAAATTGGTCATCAGTTGTAGTATAAAAATCTTTCACCGTTCAAGTGCAGGGCCTTCTCAAATTAAAGCTAGTGAGGGAGATGATCCAAGCTCAATTGGACTCTCTTACAAAAAGGGGCTGCTAGCCTGACTCGCTAAGAGAAGTTTGGACATGACTTCAACTACAGGAACTGAAACTTGCTTCCTGTTTAACAGCTTGGAGTTGCCCTTCTTTAAACAAGATCAGACCGTTATGACTTTTCTAAGATTCGTACAAATCGCCAATGATGTACATCAGATGCAGATCAAGTAGAGTCTGACTAAACCCTATTTATTCCAACATCAGACCAAATCCTTGGAACCAGGAAGAAGCTAATTCTGCAAAGGGATAGTAGATGCAGTCAGCTTGGTTTCCTTTGATAGAACACTTTAACCAATCTGATTTAACTTTCCCTGTTTAGTGCCTTGAGATGACATTGTGTTGTAAATAGCAATTATATAAAAAAAAAATATATATTTTTTTATTGAAGACCAAGAAGCATCTGATATAAAAAATGTAGGCTTATATGTTGCCCCAAAAGCCATGAAAAAAAAACAGTAGTGGGGCTGGATCTAATACCATGATGATGCTCTGCTTTAGCATTAGTCGGGGAAACTCCAAATGATGGGGTTATGAGCTGAAAGAACATCAGATTTTAGATTTTTTTTAAATCATTCTTTAGCTGTTGTAAAACTGGTATAATTATAATCAGAGAATCAATTGCTGAATTGCAAAGAACAGCTCCAGTTTGATCTTACAGCTTTGTCTCAGCATTTTTTTCTTTTTATGTAATTCTCTATGTAAATAAAAATAGAAATGGTTTGTCAAATTTTAATTTTTGCACTGTTTTTACCTTTTTTTAATCATCTGTATGGTCTTTAATTTTGCAACATTAGAGTGTGTTTCATAGATTTGCCATAATCTGGTCAAAGTAATTTGGAACACAAAAAAAACAAACACATTTTTAATTCTAATTATACACGTTACTGCAATGTCTTTGGAGAATAAAATGTATCAAGAAAGTAAAAAGGACAAAATGAGAATTAAAAAGGGGGGGGAGTAGTTCTAAGCGTTTTGTAACAGTCTTTCTGTGAGATGAGAAAAAAAAGATGTAATAACAACCATGTGGAAACATGAACAGAATATACTACCAGTAAATTGCACCCCATTAGCATATTTTATACTCTGCTCCATCAAACGATCTACATTTGTTTTCCAGCCGTCTCCCAGGCAACCGGTCCCAGCATCTTTTGCCATGGCAACATGCGTCCAGCCTCATTGCTTCAGCTACGTCAACAGTTTCCATAGTTACCACGCCTCAAGACGCTCTGATAAAGCAGTTTGGGCAAACACGTGATAAATTGACTACACCAATCCTTTCTCAAGTCAAGGTAAACAATTTTGTAACCTAAAATATAGCCAAAAAATCTCTATATATAAAATAAAAAATGAGAATTAAAATAAAATAACGGTTGGATTTGTCAAATTAAATTTACATTAGAGAGTCTGAAATGACAAAAAGATAATGAGAATGTTATTTCTGAGATAATATATGGAAATAAAAGATAAAACTCTCAGAAATTCTCTCTAATTAACCAGTGTCGCTATAGCAACCGCCGTATCCCCTCCCAGTCCTGTTTCTGCGCATGCGTGGAAATGTCAGCTGAGCTCAGGAGGCAGCATCATGGCGGCCTCCGGTGTGAGCATGAAATGTGTCTTTCGGAGAGCGATGGTGCCCTCCTTGGTTGTTATTCTGGGGGCTACCGGTACCGGAAAGTCCAAACTAGCAATCGAGCTCGGAAAGCGCCTTCAGGGAGAAATAATCAGCGCGGACTCCATGCAGGTAGGAGGAGATGTCGATGATGTCTGGGCTGGCAGCTACCATGCTGTAAAGAACAGTGAATGCTGAAGTCCATCCATAGCTCTGCACAACTGTCAGGGAAATGTTTGCAGATCCAAAATGTAAAGATGCTGAATGTTGTCTGAGTCCCGGCTTGTGTAAATGGATCATTTCTGGACAGTCGTGGTTAAATAAAACATCAACACTTTGGATATCTTTGTCTGAATGGACGCCCTGTGTTGGACTCTGCAGTCACCTGGTAGCAGTTTATGATGGAATTAAAACGCCTAATCGTTGTAAATCTGAGCTGCATAAAGCAATAATTTTTCAGTTGTCATAATTGAACCATAATTTAGATTATGACTGAGCATAATCTTAACATAGTGCCCATGTTCTACCACGTTAGGCAAGTCAAAACATGGGCACCATGCACAGAGGCGTAGCCAGAAAATATTAATAGGGGTGGCCAGTCAAAAACCAATGTACACTGAGGGGTGTCCGAAAGCAGAAAGGCGCTAGAACCTAAGGATCCATCTACACTGTTACTTACAACAGGAACGAGCACAACAAATATGAATATTTTCTAAATAAAGACAAACTATACCTTCCTACTATTTTCGATTGATTGCAAATAGATGCATATATTTAAACATCCAAACTGTCAAAATAAAAAAAAGGTATAGTGGACAAAATGTCTGGGGCAAACATCTTTTCCATTTTATTTATCTATAATTTCACTGAAAACTCCTTGATGACTTGCAGGGACACATTATTTTCTCTTTAACCCATATAACACAAAATTAGGGTCTTGAAAGAGCATGAATTCTGTTCATATCAACTATAATGTTAGTATTTAGATTTGCATAATTAACCACAGCATTTCAGTTGTCAAGTAACTATTAATATATGAAAAATTACATTTTTTAATAAGATTAAACATTCCTCTTGATAGTATTACTGCTGCCACCATCTGTATTAGAGGGAAATAAATGGTAGGGGTGGCCACAGGGGTGGCCAATGATTGGCTAAGGGTGGCCATGGGCCCCCTGGCCCCCCCATCTAGCTCCGCCCCTTACTATGCAGGAAGGGTATGTCCTGGTCCACTGGTCCATTCATCTGATGACTTGCAAATCTAACAGAGGACAGATCACATGTTTGAGTTTAATAAACTAAATGTCAGGTTATGCACTAACGTCAGGTCAAATCCAATGCATCTAACAGGAAAAAAACACCAATAAATGCAAATGTTAATAAACAACCATGACACATTCTTTTTAGAATAGAATAGAAAGTCCTTTTATTGTCCCACCATGGGGAAGTTCTGGTATTTATAGAAAAATTGGTCACACGAATGTGGACCAAATATGGACCTCAGAAAAATGTATAAGAATAACAGCTGCCTGCTGCTTTAGCATATATGTTTGTAAGCTGTGGAATATTGTCTGTTTATATTGTCAGTGGAGAAGAAACAGCCCAAAACAATTGAGCCTGCATTGCTTTCATGACTGCCAGGTCAAAGTAATGACCCCTGGAGGTTTGTTCAGAGGGGTCAGTTTGACCTGAATTGTCCTTACCCAGTAGATTTTTAGGGAAATGAAACACTACTTCAAATTATACTGTTCTGTGATTAATCTACTTTGAAACTTTTATACAATTCTGCTGTTTCTTATTTCTTTCTACTCTCATATACAATTATCTACATCACGGACAAATAAGGTTGCATCGTTTAAAAAAACAAAATGAAACAACAACAAAAAAATACTGATATAAGATACACTATTTATTTTGCAGAATAAATGATGAAGGTTTTGGTCAACATTTTAAATTGAGCAGAAACGATAAATTGGAATAATTGATTATTGAAATAATCTGATTAACTAATTTGGCAATCAAATTGGATTGTTACCTAGAGTAATTAAGCAGACTGCTAAATATGCCATCTGCTCAAATAATAACCGACTTAAAGGAGTGATTAAGACACAACTCTAAAAATATAAACCATAAACATTTATGGACACAATCCATCCATCCATTTTCTGACCCGGGGCCGGGTCTCAGAGGCAGCAGTCTAAGCAGAGATGTCCAGATTTCCTGATCCATGCACACCTCCAGCTGTTCTGGCGGGACCCCAAGGCGACACCAGACCAGCTCAGAGACATAGTTTCTCCAGCGTGTCCTGGCCTTCCATAACGCCTCCTCCCAGTAGGACATGTTTGGAACTCCTCCCAAGGAAGGTGACCAGGAGGCATCCGGAACAGCCAGAGCCACCTCAGCTGGCTCCTGTGGACGTGGAGGAGCAACGACTCTATTCCAAGCTCCTCCCGAGTAACTGAGCGCCTAACCCGATCTCGAAGAGTGCACCACAGCCAGCCTGCTCTCAGCAGCCTGTGAACAGTACAAAACCATAACGGATTGATTCAAATTCTCCACCACCGGACTCGTCTTTAACATGAAAGTTAACATTTGTTAGCATCACTGCTACTTCATAGGTGCACCAACTTGGCAACCAGGTATCTCTCTCTGTGCAAGCATCTTCCAAACCCTGAGAGCGTACATTTTCTACTCCTGAAGACACTAGGGATGTAAATAATGATTTCGTATCGATGCATTGATCCAACAGCAGACGATCCGATGTATCGACACGTCCTCAAGAGTATCGATTCATGTGTTCTGTTTTTTTCCCTCCCGTCTATTTTTATCCATTTGCTCCTGGACATAATTCTGACTCCCTTTGCGGCGGTGGTGCTAAACCTGTTTTGTCCTTCTATCTTGCTTCCTTTAGCCACTACCCTCTTTCCGCTTGCACACTCACGTAAACAGTAGGCAAGACAGACATGGCGGATTCTAATATCGAAAATAATCAAATCGTTGGGTCAGGAAATTGATACTGAATGGAATCGCCATGATGGGTGTGATTTACACCCCTAGAAGACACCATCAGGAGCGGGCGTGGTAAGAAAGCAGACATGTTTTCTTTTCGAAGAAAAACTGCTAAGTTAAAAGGTCTTTAATATGTTACAGTGAGCATTAACCACTGACTTGTCACTTGTTTGCAAATGTAAGAAAAGTACTTAGAATTGTAAAATATGAGTTAAAACCTAAAGTCAAGATTTTTAGTTTAATATGCACAGGGTCTTACTACATGGAGCTTGCATGGTCTCCCTGTCCATGCGTAAGTTCTCTCCGGTTTCTCCGGCTTCCTCTCACAGTACAAAAACATGTTGTGTTAATTGGCTTCTCTAAATTCTCCTTAGGTGTGAGTGTGTGTGAATGGTTGTTTGTCCTGTTTGTCTGTGTTGCCCTGTAATGAACTAGTGACCTGTCCCCGTATCTTCTGGTACCCGTATTGGAAATTTTCGATTGAAACGTTCTCCTAGACATTAGACGGGATTCGCTCTTCGCTTTTTTTTTTAGCTTGGATTTGATTTTGGACTTTTCCTCTTTCTTTTCACACTTTTATACCACATTGCTACCTTGCTTGGCTCCATTGTTTAGACGTAAAAGTGTCTATTGCTCTCTTCCCTGTTTGCTTATCCTGCTCATGCAGAACATTTTAGTCATGTGGTACTGTTATGGTAACTGTGTAGAAATCTTTAAAAAGGTCTTTGTTTACTAGCAAATACAAAAAAATAGCAAAATAAGCCCAAGAGATGCCATAACTTGATAAGCAAGTCTATTGATAGCTATCAGCTCTCTCTATCAGCTCTCTGTGCTCTTTCTATGTTCCTCTTCTTGCTTCGCTCAAATTGTTTCTTACATTTCTCTTGCATCCACTGAGAGCCAAACAAAGCTTCTTAGTGAAAATCCTTAGAAAACCAAATGTGTTTAATTAGGTAGCAGTCAGACAGGAAGTGTTTAGAGCGAGTGTCTGGGAAAAAAAATGGAAGCCAAAGTTATGTCATCGCTGCCGACAGACACCAGCTCTGTGGGTTTGTGAAGTTGCAGAAAAACTCTCACGCTTGTCCCGTTCGCTCTCCCAGATCTGTACAGCTTGTTTTTTTTCATGGAGGTTCTCAGGCTCTGTTGCTACAGTAACCGGAGGACATGTTCACATAAGGAAAGGTTGGGTCCGGGCTAAAGTTTGGGTCATATCGGAGCACACAGGCAATCTCAATATTTCAGGTTCACACCTGCCAGCGGTTGCTTCTCCATCCTCCATTCTAGCTCTTCTATCTCAACCCCCCCCCATGCATTGTCCTTGAAAGCCTGTGTCCCTGTGGAGATGTACCTCCTCCTGCAGTCACCTGGTGATGGATAAACTGGGTTACACTAATAATGTTTTCAGCCCAGAATATCTCCCCCCATACAGTGGAATAACAGTGGCCTAGTTACAGCATGGCAGCCACAGTCTTCACAATCCCCGGCCTTGTCGCTCCCCGGCCTCCTGCTCATACTGGCGTCTGTGACAGCACCAGAAAGCGGCAGAGACATGGAGTCGGGGAGAAAGAAGCTGCCTATGTGAGAATGGGGCAGTGTGTAGGCTAGAGCTGGACTGTGTTGTCTTTGGGATAGGAAACAGTCTGGTCTTGTTTGGGAGAACGCAGCATTATGCTGAGCTGGTGCAGATTCAGCGCCACGCTATGCCGGCCCAGCAGCTGATGGTGAATGGCTACACTGTGGCCACTGGGAAGTGCCTATTGTCCCCCGGAGAATCGGTTCCCACACTCCCTAACGCTCCTATTGTATTACCACCAGCCCCCCCCACCCCTTCATGCCTCCAACCCACAGTTCATTGGACATGCAGCAGGGATATTATTCACTCATTAAATGAACACGCTATCTGTGGCACACACACAAGCACCTTGCTTGTCCCAAACTCAAATAAGGCTCTGCCAAGTCGCGTGAGTCCATGGTTCACAAACTGGGATCCAAGCAACAGCAGGGGTCCTTTAGCTGAAACTGGAGAATAAAAAATTTCAAAGCTGCCATCAACCTACATATTGGTCAGATATTTGATAATAAAACCCACAGGGGGTTTATATTGCTCATTTGGTTGGCGATCC